ACTCAGGATCAGGCATCAAATAGTGTCCTGCATGTGAAACTAGGCTGAGAATGCATCAAATGGTTGTGATGTGGCTCAGATTCAGACAGAATCGTGTGTTTGTGGTGTTTTTCTGCTGATTAAGGTGACTAATTCACCACACAAATGATTCTCAAAAGCAAAAAAGCTACGAAATGCATCATATTTAGTGAGAAAGTGTGACGTGAAAGAGCAAAACAGACACTATCTGGAATCAGCAGATCAAAATGAGTAAGAAACAAGTGTTAGGTTTTATTCTTTCTTTGCATTAGGTAACAAATGGGTAAAGGCAGTGGCTTTGTGTAGAAGATAGCGGAAAGCACACTTTAGTTTGCTCTGAAATAATGCATCAGTAGACAGCAGTGGTCTCTGTTGTGAGCTGTCAGAGCTAAACTGCCTCCGTTATAATCATCTGAAGCGTCTGTACTGCGAGCGCTCAGTGGCTTCAGCTGACGGACGCTTTCTATTTCTGACACTGCAGACACTTCATTTAATCCGTCCGAATGAATCATTTTATTAACAGATATCTTAAGATGTTGCTTTTTTGACTGAATATTCAAATGTGACAGTCAGGTTATGATGTTATTTGTTTGCTTGTTTGTAGTAAAAAAATAAATAAAATTAATGCAGAGCACAAATTCTAAGTATAGGTCACCATGCTTGGCCACATTTTTACCTTATATTTTTATTTGCTATGATTTTTTATTTTATTTTACTTTATATTTTTATTTATTTCAGATTTTGTTTATATATATATATGTGACAAATAAAATTCATACCTAAAATAAATAAATAAAATAACAAAATACACAAACTTCTGACCTTTACATGACAGTCAGCTTTTATTTTTTATTTTGTCCATTTATCTTTTTTTTTAGCTATGCATTTTATTTATTATATACTTCTGACCATTACATTTTATTTTATTTTATTCATGCTATGAATTTGATTTATTATATACATCTAACTATAATGTGATGGTTAGCTTTTATTTTATTTTATTTATTTATTGCCATTTTACTTTATTGAGTTATTTATGTAGAATTTGATTTATTATATATGTGGGAATGTAATATGACAGTCAGCTTGAGATTTTTTATTTTTTTAGCTTTGCATTTTATTTATATACTTCTGACTATTACATGACAGTCAGCTTGTGATGTTTTTTTCCCCCCATTTCTCTTTTTCTCAGACCTGCTCAGTAAAGTCACAATTGGGTTCTAACCATAGTTCAGTATGCATAGTTGTAATATTATGCATGCAATAGTCCATACAAAAGTCAGTCTCATACTTGTATAATGTACGTTTGCATGTATGCATTTGGCAGACGCTTTTATCCAAAGCAACTTGCATTGCATTAAGCTTCTATCATTTCATGCATTCCCTGGAAATGCATTTACATTGAAAGTGAAGGAAAATCACCAGTGTGGACTTTAAAGAAACATTATTGCACAGAAACACTGGTTTGCTGTTTGCATAGGTCACTTGCTTCAGTATTTGTTATCTAATGCAATGATATTCAGACATTTTTAAGTGTCGAGATATATTTTGAGGGGGACCACACACGTCTGTACCGCCCAGAAACGACCTGAGTCCCCGAGTCCTCCGGGGCGTGCGATCACTGGTTTCAGAGGTTTTGTTGCATGCAGCGCTGCTGTGAGCCGGAGTGTCACTTTCTGAGCTCGCGGGAGGATGACGTGAAGAAGAAAGAGAGAGAAATGGGAAGCAGTTTGTGGCGGTGGAAGAGGGAAGATAAAGTTTTCACTGTCATAATGTTGAGCTGCTTCTGCACAAGAGACTGAGTGTCATGAAAACATGTCTAGGACCCGGCTGAAAAAAGCCCTAAAGCTAAGAAACCTATCAAAACTGCTGTCTTTTCCCCAAAATTCCATTTTTTTTAAATACATGTTTTCTGTTTTAATTTTCTCTGGATTTTCTTTTTTTTTACTTACTTACTGTCCAAATAAATTTTAATAATGAAAAGTAACATTTAATAATTTATTAAAGATTTAACAATAATAGGGATCTATAAAATGTTTGTTTTTCCAAATTCCATTAGTTTTTTTTCCAATTTTGATGTTTATTTATTTCATTAATAAGGATGTCTAATCAATTGAATTCATAAAACCTTAACTATTTAATAATTTATTAAAATTTTAACAATAAAATGGCCCTTTGAAATGTTATATTTATTTATTTATTTATTTTTATTTTTTCATAAATTCTCTGTTGTCCGTTTAAATTTTTCTGGATCCTGTGTTTTATGATTGAATACACGTGTCTTATCAAAAATGGTAGGACTCAAATGAATGCATAAAACGGTCACAGTTTAATTAATCTTTAAATATGTAATCAAATGAAACTGGATCAATTCCTTTAATTTTCTGGCCAAAGTGCTGAACAACATGTTTACAGTTTAAATTAAAAGTTGATAAAAAAATGTTGTGATACTGCAATAAAAATGTATTACCAAAGAACAAAAAAATAAATCCTAGGGCCCTAGAAAGCCCTTGTTTGTAATTACCACTAAGGGTTTTCTTGCAGGTCACATTTTTCACCCCTTGAGAGGAAACCTGTGTGACCGTAATAAACATAATGATTAACGTGATGAATATCTACTTGACTGGAGCGAGTGGCGTTTGGATAAAGTGTTCTGAGAGCTGAAATCAAGTCATGTAATCGTGTCTCAAGAAAGCCTGCAGATGGCTGTAATCTGTAATAGAGTTATACGCTTTAATCAGATTGGAGAGCGGCGGCAAATGCCACCGAAGTGACCTTTAACTGGAGGAATATTGTGACTGGAGGCTCAGCTGTTTGGTCTGTGTATGAGTCTCTTAACTGTGTCTCTGTTTGCTCCGCTCGGGAATCTGATGAAGCGTAAAGGTCAGAAGATGTTTGTGAATTCACACATTTGCATGAGATACTTGAGGATCCTTTGAACTCAACCAGCGAGGATCTTTCCGCTCTTGGCTGCGACTTTGGCCTTGGCTCTTCTTTAAATCTGCTGAAGCGATAAAAGAATCACCTTTAGTGAACAGAAACATGTCTCCGCTGCTGCACAGTTAGTATTGTGTCGTTAGTGCTTTGTTATCTCCTAGCGTGGAGGTTTGAATGTGACCTGAGAAAGGACGGCAGTGGATTGAATTCAAGGTACCGCTGTGGATTGCTGGGTAATGCAAGTGTTTTTCCTGAGTAGAAATGCAATGCATTTTTATAAACATAGCAACACTTTCCATATAATCAAATTGCTTACTGTGTTCTGAGGGGTTTTTTAGCAGCCATTATGACTGGAATTCAATAATATTGCATGCAGTGTCTGGCCACACATAAAACCAATTTAACTGGCATGGATTTATTTGGAGGAATCGCAGTTATTTATTTTCTCAGGAGGGTCTTTAGACGATTTATGCCATTTTGTTGTGGATCAGCAGCCTCGGATGAGATTGAAAAACAAAGAGAAAAAAATATTTTATTGGGCGATACAGAAATGGTGTAAAAACATTGCAAAATTATTTTGACGTCAACAACAAACTTCATTGTGATTTAGCACAGGATTATTATATTTAAGAAAAAAGAAATTAAATAAAACAAAACTGAAATAAAAATAATAAAAATTATATATGAATTGGCATTTATTTTTACATTTTCAGTTTTGATTTTAATTGTAGTTTTATTAATTATTTAGTTAATATAGCTTTATTTTTATTTCATTTATGGATTTAGTACTTAACATTTATTTATTTTGGTTTATTGCAGAAACATTTCTAATTTTCGTATTTTAAGTTTTTTTATCCACTGTTTCTTCTTTATTTTATTCAGTTTCATTTCAATTCAATTTAGTAACATTTTTAGTCATTTTATTATATGCTTTTGTCATGATTATTAGTTTCTACAAATATTTATATAGTTAGAATTTAATTTTAGTTTTATAATCAATTAATTTCAATAAAAAATTAGTAACTTCAATTAGTTACTAAGGCAACATTTCAAGTTTCCATGTAATGTTTAGCTATAAATAATTTTATTTCAGCTTTATTTCAATTCAATTTAGTAAAAAATTTTTGCAATTTGATGTGCTTTTATGTTTATTAGTTTATTTATTTATTTTGATTTTTCTTGTATTTCAATTAGTCGTTTTAGTACTTCAGCTTATTTTAATTAGTCACACAAGGCATCATTTAATATTTATATTTGAATTTATTTCAGCTTTTTTGAAAATGATTTTTAATGTGTTTAGTTTTATTATTAGTTATCAATAACAACACTTGGTGGAAATGGGATCAACAACATTTGCTTCATCAAAAAGGGAAAAGGGAAAGTTTGGCGACTTTTAATGTACTCTTTAACTCTTTCCTCGCCAAACACAGAATTTTCCAGGTTTCCGGGTTTTCACTGTTATACACTCGAGGCGCTATTACGCATCTCCTGAATGAGTCTAGAAAGTGCAGATCAGAAACACAGATGAGGAAGCCGCAGAAGCGAGCGATCTCATATGTAAGCATATGCATATGAAAAACAATACGATCATCAACACTAACCTCAATAAAATGAAAACTGCCTAATGCTACAGAGTGAAATGTGGATCCAGAAAGTGTTAAAGGCCTGTGCAAGCTTTAGGAGATAAATGGCTGATGGAAGCCATCTACTGCATCTTTGCGTTGATAATATTACTGAATATGATCCAGATGTAGCATTTGACAAAAATGCGATTTTCTCAGCTTTTTGCTCAAAATGTTGCTTTTTTTTATGAAATCTACCTACATTCAAGTGTTGATAAAAAAACAATGCTTGAAGCTAGAATAAAACTGTTTTTTTGTTCTTTGAAAGTAGAGGGTCTGATCTTTATTCTGATATCGTGCATGCTTAGATATTCAAACAACAATATATTCTGGGGACCATGAAATCTGAGTGAAAATCAGCAAAAAATCTGAATAGTGACTCAAGTAAACTGATCACTCCTTCTTTTCTCTTGTGTTCTCCAGATGCGCTGTGGACCGGTGGCTTTGCCTCGTCCTTGAGCTCTTCCAGCTTGCGTTTGTGAAACTCCTTCAGCACTAACCGCCGCCGTTCTTCCTCTATATCTCTTCTCATGCTCTCCATGGCTAATCTTCTGAGCTGTGTTTTGTTCCTGGCGCTCCGGACGTTCGCTGCCCCGCCGGAGTACATCCAAGTGTGGCCCGGCGGCTCGACGCAGGCCCCGGGAGATCTGGGCAACGTTACGGTCGGCCCTTCTTTAGTCCCCCCTCCAGGAACCAGCAAACACGCGCCGCACAGCATCATCATCGGCGTGCGGAAAGGAGGCACCAGAGCGTTGCTGGAAATGCTGGATATCCATCCCGAAGTAGCAGCGGCGGCCACCGAAGTTCACTTCTTCGACTGGGACGAGAACTACGCCAAAGGCTTCGAATGGTACCGGGACCAAATGCCCTATTCGTACCCAAATCAGATCACCGTGGAAAAGACGCCGGGGTACTTCACGTCTCCGGTGGCGCCTGCGCGGATCCACGCCATGAACTCTTCCATCAGACTCTTGCTGATCCTGAGAGACCCGACGGAGAGAGTCATATCGGACTATACGCAAGTCTTCTTCAACCGCTTGGAGAACCACAAACCCGTACAGGCCATCGAGAACATGCTAGTCAAGAACGGCGTGCTAAACACGCGCTACAAAGCCATCCAGCGCAGTCTTTACGACGTCCACATGAGGAACTGGCTCCAGCACTTTCCTCTGGAGCAGATCCACATTGTGGACGGGGATACGCTGATCTACGACCCCTTACCGGAGCTCCAGCGGGTCGAACGCTTCTTGCATCTGCCGCCACGGATCGTGGCGTCCAACTTCTATTTTAACCAAACCAAAGGCTTCTACTGCATTCGCAGTGACGGCCATGAGCGATGCCTGCACGAGTCCAAAGGACGGCCGCATCCGCCCGTTAACAGCACTGTGCTGCGACAGCTGCGCTCATATTTGCGCCAACACAATCGGAACTTCTATCGGCTCACTGGACGTACTTTTAACTGGCAGTAGTGGGAGGGGCTGGAATTAGCCAATCACAGCCCAGCTGGGGGGCTGATTGACAGCTGATGCACTGAACAAACCACTCCCCCATGGACACATCTCTTAAAGGGTTAGTTCACCCCAAAATGAAAATTCTGTTATTAATTACTCACCCTCATGTCGGTTCAAACCCGTAAGACCTTCGTTCATCGACTGCCATTTTGGGGAGTACCCAAGAATGTAATCGGCGTAATCAGCGTTGTTTACGCTTCTGGGAAAGCATGCGTATGCGTTGTGATACTCTCCAGAATGGCGGAAGACGTAACTCGGGGGAGAATAATTGTTGAATAAAGTCATTATTTTTGTTTTATTTGCGCAAAAAAATATTCTCGTAGCTTCGCAAAATTAATGTCACACAGACTGTTTTACCGATGTCCTTGCTACGTTTCTGGGTCTGGGAACATGCTGTCGATGGGAGGGTCAGAGAGCTCTCTGAATTCATCAAAACTATCTTAATTTGTGTTCCGAAGATGAACGAAAGTCTTACGGGTTTGGAACGACATGAGGGTGAGTAATTAATGACAGGATTTTCATTTTGGGGTGAACTAACCTTTTAAATGCCTTCGAGCTGCTTTTAAAGGGATAGTGCACCTAAAAATACAAATTCGCTATTAAGTTACTCACCCTCAGGCTATACAAGATGTATGCAAGTTTGTTTCTCCAGTAGAACAGTGAGAAGATTTTTAGCCGAAAGTGGGATTCTTGGTGATTCATAAAATGCAAGTCAATGGCTACCGGCATTTTGAGAGTCAAAAAAGCATACAGGCAACACGAAATTAATCCCCGTGGCTCCTGATGATATATCGAGGTCTTATGAAGCGAAATGATAGGTCTGTGCAAGAAACTGAACATTATTTACAACATTATCACCTGTAATCCAGAGCCTCAGGCAAATGGAGAAATACGATTATTTTCCATGAACTGATTCTTTTGGAGTTTGTTTCTATGAACTAGTTCAATTCACTAGTTTGTTTATGTAATCACACAATGATGTAACATATACGCAATTATATTATTAAAGCACCCAGTAATGATGTGAAACGGGGATGTTTTACATGTCTAAAGCATATAAAGTGAATAAACTAGTCTTCATCAGCTCACCTTTTTACATAAACCATGAGAAAACATAAAAACTTTAGTTTGGCCCCTTTATTCAAGTGTTCGGTTCATGCATGCGCATATCAGCGGCTCATCCGTCTTCGGTCCAAGTCGAACTGTTTCCTCGGTTCAGTGACTGTTCTAGGAGGAACTGGAGCGCTGAATCAGTTCATTCATCATAGGATCAGATACACTGGTATTTTGGCTCATTTCGAGTCGGAGTGACTGTCAGGCGTCTGAAAGTGAGTTTTGATTGAGTAACTTGTAGATATGTGCTTCTCGAGCCACGAACTGTTTCAGATGGTTCGATCTGATTTGGTGAACTGATTCAACTAGTTCACTAAAAAGAATCGTTTCAGAAGAATGATTCGTTTGTGAACCGGACATCACTCCGGACCGTTTGCCTGAGGCTCTGGATTGCAGGTGATAATGTTGTAATAATGTTCAGTTTCTTGCACAGACTGATCGTTTCGCTTCATAAGAACTCGATATATCATCAGGAGCCACATGGATTAATTTTGTGTTGCCTGTATGTGCCTTTTTGACTCTCAAAGTTCCGGTAGCCATTGACTTGCATTTTATAATCATCAAGGAGCATGGTTTCAGCGAAACATCTTCTTTACTGTTTTACTGAAGAAAAAACTCACCTAGCCTGAGGGTGAGTAACTTGACAGCAAATGTTCATTTTTGAGTGAACTATCCCTTTAAGACTTCAGAACGATCATGTTTTCAATCTGAAATTGTAAGGAATAAGATATTAAAACTCAACTGTGGGGGGAAGATCTTTGCTGTCAAGTGTCTTTGTCGTAACAAGGTTACCCGAGACAAAATCTTGAGTCTTTTTTTCTCTTTCTCTCTGTTTGTTTGATATTCTTGTACTTGATAATAAATGGTTCTGCTTCCAAAATGGGCCCTGAATATCTCGACCGTTTCTTCAGCTCTTGCTTTTGAAACATACAGTAAAAGGTATTTATTTACAAGCTCTAATGCCGTATAAACTGACTGAAACTGAAATAAGGGATAGAGTACAGAAATCTCAATCAGGACTCGTCTTTCATCATCCTGAACGGGTTTATTTTGTGACAGTGTCTGTCGAAGTTTACATTATCCTTATTAAATGACTATTTGTCAAATAAATCAATGCACGTAGCATATTGATTTGAGTAGAAGTTATGATATTAAGTGCTACGTGAAGAAAGAAATTAGACCAAGCAGAGGACTGGGACTGGGGAAAATAACATTCTGCATGAATTTGGGGCCTCATTATGTAAATTTGTTGATGATTGTAAGTTTTCATCACACCGTAATAAATGTAGAAAATTAAAATAATAATGCTGCAGTCTTTGCACACTGGTGTACAGCAGATATTTTTAATACAATTTATATACTATTATATATTTCATTAATGTCTTGAATTAGCTTTTATTTTTATATTATCAGTTTTCATTTTGATTTGAGTAATTTTATGTTTTTTTTTTTTTATATATTCCTAAATAGTTTTATTTTGATTTTATTGAATTTAGTAATTTTAGTACTTAAACTTATCTAATTTATTGCTAAAGCCACATTTCTAATTTTCTCATTTAGTTTAAAATATATATATGTCACTGTCTTTGCGCTTTTTTCAGCTCAGTTAAGTTTATTTATTTATTTTCATTTTCGATTTCTTTTTTTCTTTTATTTATTTACTAATTTATTTGAAATTTCGTGCTTTTATCATCTTTATTAGCTTTTGGGGTTTTTTGAAAAATGTTTCTAAATGGTTTCAATTTATTTTTATTTCAGTTTTAATACTAGAGTTTAAACTTATTTTCGTTCGTTACCAACATTTCTCATTTTCATTTTAAGTTTTTCTTCTATTATTTATATCTCATTCAATTTCAACTTTATTTAAATTGAATTTAGTTTCATTTGTGGTCATTTTGTTATATGCTTCTCTCATATTTATCAGTTTTCGGTTTTTAGAATTATTTCTATATTTATTTATTCAGTCATTCAAATGAGCAATTTTAGTACTTCAACTTAAACTTATTTCAAGTAGCTACCAAGGCGACATTTAAAGTTTTAAAGTCATCTAATATTTACACATTATTTTATTTTAATGAACAAAAATGGTTTTTAAGTTTTAGTTAATAATAACGACACTGGCACACAGAAATACCCCTCGAGAATAATTCAGAGTTACAGGTTCACACACAGAACTGATCTGCAGCACTCTTAATTTTTGAGTGCAAAGTGCAGCAGCCGGTCAGTGAACAAACTGTGGTCAGAAAGTGAATCTGTCCCGACAGGCAGCAGTTAAACTGAAGACCCAGACGGTGCTGGAGAGGTCGGTCAGGAAATTGGAGTAAGAAAGCAGAGTGAGAGCATCCGCTGCTTATCTTCCCCATCTTTTTGCCTTCTCCTCTAACATCCTATCTCTGCTTCCATCTCCATTTCCTTCCAGCTCATCATTTTCCCCATTCTCCTGGTTTTTGAGAGCCGCTCTTTAGCATGTGTGTGTGTGTGTGTGTGTGTGTGTGTGTGTGTGTGTGTGTGTGTGTGTGTGTGTGTGTGTGTGTGTGATTTGGGTTCTGCAGCAGCGTCTGCGGTGGAGCTTCACAGGAGCTCGATCACTAATGACTGGAGACACGGACTGAACTCTGCTCTGTTCTGGCTTCACATCACATCTGAACACGCTTCGTCACACACGCATGTTCAATAACCGTGAATGTGAAGGGAATGTTATGAATGCAGCATAGAGACGATCATATCCATATGCAGGAAGATGTTCAAAGTTAAAAACTGCTAAAAGTTTGAAGAAGAAAAAAAATAATGCAAATTTTTTTTATACAAGATATTGTATGAAAATGCAAAATAGCCCGTTTTTTTTATTTCCAAATTCATAACTGAAAGCTGATTTATTTAAGATATAAGGAAGATTGATTGATTGATTTTTTAAAGAGAAATCAATAGTTTTATTCAGCGAGGATGGCAGTAAATGCACAATTATCAATAATATTTTTTTAAATATAATTCTAAATAGTTATAATTTTCAATTATTAATTTTAGTGTAGTTATTATAGCTTTTGGTCTTTAAAAAAGGTTATAATTTATGTTTGTTTTAGTTCGACGTCAGCGCATCTTCATTTATGTTTACACCTGCAGATCTTCATGAATAAACGTGATCGTGGAGTGAATGTTAGAGAGGATCATATTCATATCTGGTGCTTATATCTGGTAATATGTTCTCTAGAGTCTTCCAGGCTTTGAAGGTTCATCTGAAGTGTTTTCTGAAGCGGAGTACAGTATCACATCTTCAGGGAGGAAAGCAGTGTTTGGGTGAGGAACTAAAAGCAGCGATTCGACAGACTCGACTGCAGTATTCAGCTGTTTTCAGACACATGAACTGAGCTGTGTTTGGAGTAACATACAGCTCATACTATTTCTGCAGAATGCATGAAATACGCTAACATCAGCCCACAATGCAATGACCTTCCGTTTACAGAGCGATGAATGCTTCAGAACATGATGTGATTTTTGTTTTATAACAGATTATTATGTCAATAGTTAGACAGAAGTTTGAAGAAGGAAAAAGTAGTGCAAATGTTTACACAAAATATTGTGCAAAAATTTAAAATTACCATTTTCCCCCCAAAACACTAACTGAATGCCATATTAATACCAAGAAATTCATGCTTTTATTCATCATGCATGCATTAAATTAATCAAAAGTGGGAGTAAAGTTAAAGTAAGTTCACATAATTGCTGTTCTTTGTTTCCACAAACATATTGTGCAGCACGACTGTTTTCAACATTGATAATAATCACAAATGAGCAGCAGATCAGCATATTATACTGATTTCTGAAGATCATGTGACACTGAAGACTGGAGGAATGATGCTGAAAATACAGCTGCGCATCACAGAAATACATTACATTTTAACAGAGATTCACATAGAAAACTGCTTTTTAAACTGTAATAATATTTTGCCATT